GTCCTGATCCAGAATCCATGGTAGGCCAGCCTCACACTCAGAATTGGGATGTTAAGTCCCATGTATCCTGATCTACACATGCATGATTACTGTATGTGTTTCTATAAACTGTGGCATTTTAATGCATGTGTGCAGTGTGTACTGATCAATATGGTCGATTATGATTTCCATGTCCTTTTCAGTACACTATCTTCTCTTTATGTTTTGAAGATTTATTTCTGTATTGGAAAGGCAGAGTTACACAGGGAGAGTGAGAGCTGCACAGGCTGACACTGACCAGGCCAGAGTCAGGAGCCTGAGCCTTCATCCAGCTCTCCCCCGTGGGTGACAGGGATCCAAGCACTTGGGCATCTTCCATTACTTTCCATGACACAGCAGGAAGCTGGATGAGAGACGGAGCAGCCGGGACTCGAAGTGGTGCCCATGTGAGATTAGCAGCTCAGCTTGTTATCCCAAGTGTGGGCCCTTGTTTGTTTAGTGTTCACATATAAGGGAGAACAGGAGACATCTGTCTCTCCACGTCTGACTTCTCTCATTTAGCATAGATGTTTTTCAGCTCTATGCATTATGCTGCAAATGATGTTATTCATTTTGAAAAGAAAAACTTATTTATTTAAAAGACAGATTTACAGAGAGAGAGAGAGAAGAGGGAGAGAGGAGAGGAGGGTAAGAGAGACATATTGTTTCATCTTTTGCTCACCTCCTAAAGAGCTGCAGTGGCTGGAGCCAGCAGCTAGCTGCCAGCAGTCAGCAGCTTCTTCTAGGTCTCCCGCATTAGTGCAGCAGCCCAATCACATCGGTCATCTCCCACTGCCTTCCCAGGAGCATTAGCAGGGAGCTGATCAGAAGCAGAGGATCCGGGACACGAAGTAGCATCTGAATAGGATACCAGCATCACAGGCAGAGGCTTTACCCACTATGCAACCCTGGCCCTTATCTCTCATCTTTTGATAATCATCCATCAAGCTGCATGAACTGATATCTTATTACTGTTCTCCCCTCCCCCAGATGAGTAGGTCATTTTGTCATTTGAATATTACAAATAAATCTTATAATCTGGATCCTGGATCTATCACTGGATCCTGGATCTATCACTGGACATCTCTGAGGTCTGATTTATTGATTTGACAATTGTTACTTTTCCCCACACATTAACCCCATTCAGATAGTTCTGACAACCCCATTTCTAAATGCGGTGGCCTGTGGAGTCAAAGCAGCAGAATTATAGCAAGTTCAATGTCATTTTTAACCCATCTAGATCTGTTATGGTTTGAAAGAATTCATTGACGATGGAGTTCCTCTTGGAGGTCAGGTGGGTCCAGAAGGCCTGTGTCAGGAATACAGGGTGCGCCTTCCACACTGGCACCTTCAGTGGTGCTTGTTTCACTATTCTTGTTTGAGCTCCTTGTATGAAAGACAGTTGCTGAAAAGCATGTAGCCCATTAGCACCATGTTCACATGGGCGATGCTTCCCTTCTTCATGTTGATGTACTTGTAACACCTGCAGTAGCCTTTTTGAAACTCTCCAGTGATGCCTTCACGGGTGAAATCCTGCATCAGGATGCAGCTTGGCAGCTCTGTGAGTTTGACATCCATGACTGATGCTATCTTGGAGTACTAGTGTACCCTCAATGTCATTTCTTTTCAGCATTTTTTTTTTTTTATTGCAAAGGCGGATATACAGAGAGAAGAGACAGAGAGGAAGATCTTCCGTCCGATGATTCACTCCCCAAGTGAGCGCAATGGCCGATACTATGCCGGTCCGAAGCCAGGAGCCTCTTCCGGGTCTCCCACATGGGTGCAGGGTCCCAAAGCTTTGGGCCATCCTCGACTGCTTTCCCGGGCCACAAGCAGGGAGCTGGAAGCAGGGCTGCCGGGATTAGAACCAGCGCCCATATGGGATCCTGGGCGTGCAAGGCGAGGACCTTAACCACTTGCGCCACCGCGCCGGGCCTTCTTTTCAGCATTTTATTTTTAACATTTTATCATAAAAGGTAGAGAGAGATTCATATTATATATGTACACATACACACGGAGGAGAGAAATCCTTCATCTTCTGGTTACTGCCCCACAATGCCTGTAACAGCTACACTTGGGCTTGGCCAAAGTCAGAAGTCATGAACTTCATCCAGATCTCCCTGTGGATGACACAGACACAAGGTTTGAGCCATCACCTGCCACCCTCCAGGAGTACATTAGTAGGAACCCAGGTCACTGCTGAGGTGGGATCAATCCCAGGCGCTAGGACCCAGGGTGACCCAGAGTGTCCCAGCGCCACCCCTTGAGCAATGTGCATGTGTCTGGTGGCCTTCTGCAGTTACTTTGGAACAAACAGAGAATGAAGTAAGCACAGCAGAAAGCAGCAGCCCGCATTAGTCTCCCGCAGGAGGTTGCTGTTTGGGGCTGGTCCCGGATGTGCTGCCTGGGAGTGAGCAGCAGATGCAGGTGCTGCTTCCTGTAGCCCTGGCTGCTCTATTCTGGGTGCTGCAGGGGTTGGGTTGGCTCCCAAGCTGAAGCTTCTGTTCTGGAGAAATCCCAAGGTGTTCCACACAGGCTCTACTGATTGAAGGAGACACGATCCCCAGGCAAACACAATGAGTGGGTCAGGGAAAGAGAGAACTGCCCTGGCCTATACGAAGGAGAATCTGAAATTTTCCTGGAGTTGTCCTGCAGCGCTGAGGACAACAGAGAGGAGAGAAGCTAAAGGAGAAAGAGTGTGGCAGGGCGGGGAGCTGCGTCCAACGGGAGAATGTCCCTGAGCCCAAGAATGCAGGCTGCTTTTTTATTATTGAGCTTTTACAATTCATATCTAGTATTACATAATCAACTCATATTTGTAATTGGTTAAAACCCCCTCAAATGTCAATAGCAGCCTGTGTATGCTCTGTGGGAATTCACTCATTCGCCAGACTCTCACTGGGTGTCCTCTACATACAGGTCCACTTCTGAATGCTTGGCAAACAACAGGTGTGCCTGTTCTTTGACCTTGCACTTGAATTGGAAAAGAGTAATAAAGGGAAGAGAGGAGCAGGTGCATTTCACACTGCTGTGGGCAGTGATCAGTCTACAGAAAAGAGAAGTGCAACAGGAGTCTGAGGGGGAATAGGGACTGAAGGCAGAGCTTCAATTTTCCTTAGACTGAGGGGTGAGCAGAGACTCCCAGGTGGGAACTGTCCCTGGGGCATCAGGGGCAGCACAGTCCCAGCAGAGGGAGCAGCCTGTGCAGCGGCCCCTCCAGCAAAACGTGGCTTTCCCACAGAGACCAGGAGGGACCAGATGCTTCATCCCTCAGGACAGGAGGAGGAGGAGAGAGGCTGCATTGTTCAGTGGAGGGTGCCGGGTAAATGCACCTGGGTCAGAAGAACCTGCTGGGATGTAGGGATCAAAGCCAGACACTGCTGGAAGGAGGCAATTGTGAGCAATAGGCTAGTCATGAAGGCTCAGTGGGGGCCAGGAAAGCTTCCTCCCGCACCTGTATACCTGTCAGGTGACCCTCAGAGCAGGCAGGGTGGCCTTTTGGAGCCCAAGCCCTGTGTGCTGTGTGCAGAGGCCGTGAGTGTGCTCTCTGATTTCTCCCTTAGTTGCTGCTTCTGGGGAAAGCCCAACAGGCCTCAGCTTCCTGTCCCCCTGGGGTGGGCCATGGGTCAGGATGGAGCAGGAGGTATTCAGGCTATTGGCCACTGTCCTTGGCTGTGGGATGAGTACAGTGGGCATGTGTGGGTCTTTGTGAAGTTGGATGTGGACACCAGGAGGCTTTCTTCTGTTCTTACGGATACCAGCTACCCTGAGGCCTGGGCAGGTGTGTGTGTGATTGACAGAGTCAGCATCCAGGGGAGTCTGGGTCTTTTCCTCATGTTCCTTCTACTCTTGCAAACCCCAAGCTTGCTGCCAGTGTTTTTCTGCTGTCTGGCTCACAGGAGTTTTATTTTCTCCATTCCATGGGTTACCATCACTCACTGTGGATGTGCTCTGTGCACATACTTTTTTATTTTTAAAAATAATTTTCTTCCTCAAGTTTAATATTTGAAAGACAGGAGACAGGGAAAAATAAAAAATGAAAAACAGATGCAGAGCTTCCATCTGTAGGTGCAGTCTTCAGACACCAACAGCACTTGAAGCTGCCATGTCAGGTGAATGCCAGGCAATGGCATCTCCATCTCCCACAAGGTGGCAGGGACTCAGAGACGTGAACCATCACTGTACCTCCCATGGTGCAGAGCAGAGCCTGAGCCTGGCCCAGTCATTCTGTTGTGAGTGAATCAAACGAATTTTTAAAAAGGTTTATTTATTTTTATTTGAAAGGCAGATCTGATTTGTAGAGGAGAGACAGAGAGAAAAATCTTCCATCGGCTGGTTCACTCTCCAAATGGATGTAACAGCCAGAGCTGATCAGAAGCCAGGGTCCAGGAGCTTCTTTTGGGTCTCCCATAAGGATACAGGATCTTAAGGCTTTGGGTCATCCTCTATTGCTTTCCCAGGCTATAAGCAGGGAGCAGGGAAGAAAGTGGAGCAGCTGAGACATGAACTGGCACCAATATGGGATCCCAGTGTTTGGAACGTGAGAATTTAACCATTGAGCCATTGTGCTGGGTCACAAATGAATTCTTAAAATCTGCACACAACATTTGGCCTGAATGTTTTCTTTTAAATAGTTATATATTTATTTGAGATTCAGAGGGGGAGAAAGGTGGAGGGAAGAGAGAGAGGAATCATCTATCAACTGGTTCACTCTCCAAGTGGCTGCAAGGGCCAGGGTGGAATCCAGCTGAAACCAGGAGCCAGGAGCTTCTTCCAGGGCCTTTTGATTGGTTTTTGTCTATGCTTTAAGTTAAGGGTTCCACTTCATTTCCTCTATTTACTCCTGGCCTGTGTGTATCCAGGTTCCCCACAATCATTGGTCTACAAATATATTGACCCTTTGAGGGCTTTGCCCCCTCTTTATCCCCTTGCATCGTTCTCATTCTAAATTCCTCTGGGGCTACACCCTCCCTTCCCCCACTGGATCCAGGGTGATCCTTCCCCAGGGGAGCAACCCTCACCTCTTCACCTCCTCTCTCCTTCCTGCCCGAATTCCCCAGGCTCTCTGGCTGTGGATGCCCTGGCCTCTGCAGCCCCTGCCTTCCACCTTGGGGTCCTGCTCTACCTGCACCCTTGCCTTCCTTCCTGTCACTAGGGCCACTGGAGCTGCCAGCCCTGTGGAGCTGCCTATTCTGGCAGAGCGCTGAATTTTTCTCTTGGGTTTGTCTGGGCTGGGGTGAGGATGGGGTCCTGGGGAGTGGACAGGTGAAACTTCTCAGAGGGAATAGGTAAAGGGAGGAGTCACCATGGGCGGGGCAGGCGGGCGCTCCCTGCAGGAAACGTTGTCTGAGAGACCAGGGCCTTCAGGGATTCCCACCGCAACTCCAGCGATTCCTCTCCTATCAATGTGGGCAGTGCGGGCAGAATTGGCTCGCAGCGCTGCTATGCAAATCCCACAGTGTTGAGTCGCCACTTGTGCAGGGTGTGCCATGATCAGGCAGTCCCTATGGCCTGAGTACCACAGGAGGACATGGTCCTGTGTCACAGCCAGGAGACCCTGTCAAGTTGACACCCTGAGGAGGTCAGGGCAGCTGTGAGGTGGCTCCTGTCCTCTCCTTGGACTCTCCCATGGAGGACGTGTCATTTCTGGTTCCCTGTGAAGAAGTGTGCAGTGAGGGAGGGATTGCTCAGGATTCTTCCTCTAGTGCTGGTGGCCTTTACAAGGCCCTCTCTTAAAGGAGAGGTCCTCTAGGGTGTCCTCCATCTCCAGGGCTGGAGCAGAAGAAATGGATCAGGAACTCAGTGTGGAGATCCCTGACCAGGAGGGTGTCTGTGCTGAGGGTGGCCATGGCAGAGACCAGCTGAGGGCATGGAGGGCTGGCAGAATCCCCCAGTCTCCATGGGAAAGAGGATCCACTGAAGGTTGTGGGCTGGGTGGGTCTGTGCTAGGACAGGGCAGGATGGCCGTACTGTCCCAGGCCTGCAGCAGCCTGTGGGTGCACCTGTCTGCAGGGGCAGGTGGACACAGCACAGCTTGAAAGCTGGCAGGGTGGAGCTTGGCAGCCTCCTTGGCCTGGGGTGTCCCGGGCAGGGCAGGGCCAGCTCAGGCAGCCCAGGGTTGCTGCTCTGGGCCTGTGGTACCCCAGCCTCCTGCTGGGCTCTGTGGGTGAGAGGGGCTGACTCAGGACTGCAGAGGGAGAGGAGGCTGAGTGCAGCTTGGACAGGGCAGCAGGGAGAGGGCGTGGCCTATTGGAGGAGCCCCAGCAGAAGGAGTGAGTGTGACCCTCTGTGGGCTGGGATTACATGTTCAAGGCCCTGTGGACATGTGGGGGTTGCTATTGGGTCTTGTCCTCCACCCTGCAGCCCTCAGCTCCTTTGCTCTGTGATGACAGTAATGGCAGGGTTCCATGTGGACAGTGTTGCATGAGAGTACCCAGGGCTGACAAAGTGGGTGATACAAGTGCTTGTAGGGGGTCAGCGTCCTCCCCTCAAGGGCTGCATGTGAGTTTTGAGTAGCTGAGGCGGGGGAGGTCCTGAGGGGATAAAATGCCTCCCTGGAAACATTGGTGCTCTGTCCTGTAGTCTGTGAGCCACTGTTCCAGATGACCAGCAGGTGGCGCCACGAGACCATGCCAAGAGAAATCCAAGCTGGCAGGCCATGCTGTCTACTGTGTCCCCTGGTTCCACTTGAGGCAGCCTATGATCTGCACAGAGGGACCTGATGCCCCCCATGCTGTGGTCTCATCAACAATATCCTGAGCCCTTCCATTTCCTTATCTCCTAACTGGAAAAACAGTGGGAACAGCATTGTGGCACATTGAGTAAAGTTGTTGCTGCAATGATAGGATCCCATATGGGTGCCAGTTTGTATTCTGGCTACTCCACTTCCAACCAAGCTCCCTGCTTGTGGCCTGGGAAAGCAGCAGATGATGGCCCAAGTCCTTGAACCCAGCATCCACATGGGAGACCCTGATGAAGCTCCTGGCACCTGGCTTCCGACCAGCTCAGCTCTGGTCATTGTGTCCATTTGTTGAGTGAATGAGCGAGTTGAAGAATCTCTCTATCTGTCCTTTTCTGACCGCAAGTCTGCCTTTCAAAATAAAATAAATGTTTATAAAAAAATCTTAAAAAACAAACAAACAAAAAAGATGCCAGCCTTGTGATACAGTGTGTTAGAATTCCTCTTATTATGAGGGCATCATTTATACAACCAAAATATAGAAATCAAGGCAACAAAATGGAAGGAATTGCATTTCTCCATGTACAGTGTAGAATAAAGAATTCGCAATCGTGAGTGAGTACAGCTGTGCCATGTGGATTATCCGTGATGTGTGTATCCCTGTGTATGGTGGGGAAATGTTTGTGTTGGTAGGCATCTCACTGTTGAGTCTGGGAGGGCAGGTGTGAAGGCGGGGCAGAGGCCGGGCTCCATTTCCATGGTGACACAGAAGTCTGTGCAGGCCCCAGGGACAAGGGTTACAGGGTCCTCCTACAGAGCAGGAGGGGCTAGTCCTTTTGTCTGAGACATCTGGTTGTGGCTCAGGGCAGGGGCTGCAGGAATGCCTACTCTGAGAGGGGTCCAGTGTAGGGACAGAGATAAGGTGAGCTATGGAATGGGGAGGGGCCTGGGATTCTGGTGCTGAAGAGCAGGGTCAGTGCTCCTGGGAGGGGCCCTGACAGGGAGGTGGGAATGAGTGAGTGAGGAATGAATGACATAGACAGGCAGGCTGCAACCCAGCAGCTGCCACCTCTGGGTTAGCCTGTGTGGGTGTGAGGGGTTTCTGTACTTTCCTGCTGGTCCTGCTTTCTCCTGGCTGCTCCTTCGCAACAGACCCCCCCCCGCCCCTCTCTGCAGGCCAGGCAAAGGAGGCAAAGAGCTCCAGAACTCCTGTGATGATACACCCTGAGCTGGGCTAGGAGCTGAGCCTGCAAGAGGAGTGGACCAGGGCCTGCCTGGGAGCAGGAGAGGATGAGAGGCCCTTTGGGGTCCCCCCTGGGTCCTTGCAAATCAGGAAGGAGGTGGGAAGAGAGTTTGTTCAGACACCGTGCAAGGTGCACCTGCTGGTGTGTGTTGTCCTATATTACTCAGTGTTGTTGCCTCTCTCACATTGCTGCAGGAGTGTTAGATGCTTTGAGACCCCAAGTTTGACTGACCTTCAAATATCACTCACAGTACTCAGCTGTCATCAGCCATAAGTCTTCATGTGCTTGGAGGCTTTGTTTTTATTTGCATCAAACTTAAAAGTATTGAAGTTAAAGGAGTTAATTATTTCTGAAGCTTTCTTATGAGAGGCTGGCATTGTGGTGTAACATGGAAAGCTGCTGCCAGCAATGCCAGTGTCCCATGTGGCTGTTGAACAGAGTCCTGTGTGCTCCACTTCTCAGTCAGCTCCCTGCCCTTGTGCCTGGAAGAGCAGCAGAAGCTGGCCTGACTGCTGGGACCCTGCAGCCATCGGGGAGAAGGAGGAAGCTGGTGGATCCTGCTTTGGCCTGGCCCAGCCCTGGCTCAGTGACCATCTGGGGAGTGAACCAGTGGGTGTGGGATTTCTGACATTAGCCGCTAGGGTACAGCACCAGGCTCTTCTGGTTTTCTTTGTTTCAAGATTTGTTTTTGGGCCTGGAGCAGTGGCCTAGCGGCCAAAATTCTCACCTTGTATGAGCCGGATCCCATATCGGCACCGGTTCTAAACCTGGCAGCTCCACTTCCCATCCAGCTCCCTGATTGTGGCCTGGGAAGGCAGTAGAGGATGGCCCAAGGTCTTGGGACCCTGCTTTGGAGGAGGGTAATAATAATAATAATATTTAATTATGTTTTATTACAAAGTCAGATATACAGCGAGGAGGAGAGACAGAGAGAAAGATCCTGTGTCCGATGATTTGTTCTCCAAGTGACCGCAACAGCTGGTGCTGTGCCGATTCGAAGCCAGGAACCAGGAACCTCCTCCGGGTCTCCCATGTGGGTTCAGGGTCCCAAGGCTTTGGGCTGTTCTTGACTGCTTTTCCAGGCCACAAGCAAGGAGCTGAATGGGAAGCCGGCCCCTGAGAGTAGAACCGGTACCCATATGGGATCCCAGCACGTTCAAGGCGAGGACTTTAGCCGCTAGGCCACCTCGCTCCTGGGCCCTAATTTGTAATTTTGCTCATCAGAGTTCTGATAACACTGTTTGTTAGTTAGCCTGACTAAATATTTGACTATCTTATTTTTCTCAAGCCAGTTTGTGTTTTGTTAATATTTCACACTCCTCTTGGTTTCGCTTTCACTTACGTGGCTCTGCCTCTTATTTCTCATCTGCTAATCTGGAGTTTTGTTTGAGCTTGTTTCTTTGTGGACAAAGTCGTCGATAAATTTATTGGGATCAAATTGAATATGTAAGTTGCTTGGAGCACCATGGATGATTTAATCATATTAACCCTTCTAAGCCTGGATATTGGAATACTTTTTTCCATTGTTTTGTCTCTTCTTATTCATTCATTGATGTAGTCATTTAAAAAATTTTTTTTATTGGAAAGGCAGATTTGCAGAGAGAAGGAGATACAGAGAGAAAGATCTTCCATCTGCTGGCTCACTCCCCAAGTGGCTGTAACGGCCAGTGCTGAGACAATCCAAAGCCAGGAGGCAGGTTCTTTCAGGTCTACCAGATGGGTGCAGGGTTCCAATTCTTTGGGCCATCCTCTCGTGCCATTCCAGGACACAAGCAGGAAATTGGATGGAAAGTGGAGCAGCCAGACATGAACCAGAGCTCCTATGGGATCCCAGCAGATGCAAGGTGAGGATTACAGAAGCATTTCTATCTCACCTCAGAGCTGCAACATCAGGACCCCCCAGGCTGTCAGGGACATCTCTAATGTAAAAATCAGGGTCCCAGGGATAGCAGTCCTGGTGCAGGCCCGGGTCCAGCATCAGAATCAGGGGTGTGAGCTGTGCCCTCTGTGCCCAGCAGCAGGGCTGTAGTTCCCAGCTGGGATCACCCAGGGTGAGGCCATGGATTCTGCTCCTGCCTGTGCAGCCTCAACCAGGGTCTCTGTATTTTCTCTTCATTGAATCAGCTACAGTGTCACACAGCCAGGTGAGGGGCAAATGAGAAACTCCTAGATTTCATTGTGGGCTCCAAGGAGGGAGAATCCATGTGGGGCACCGTGTGAGGCAGCAGGATCCAGAGAGGTTCCATGTGTTCAGCTGTGGCCTCTTCCTGAACCTTCCTCCTGGGCTGCCCCACCAGGAGAGAGTGCACAGTGTGTCTCCAACATCCTGTCTCTTCTGTTGTCACTGACCACCTGGACACAGAGTTGGAGACGCAGCTTGGGACACCTGGTCCCATCTCAGTGCTCTGTTGGAGTCCTGGCTCCACTTCTGGCCCAGTGTCCACCAGGTGCATGCCCTGGGAGGCAGCAGATGATGCATGAGGACACTTGGACTGAGTTCTGGCCTCTGGGCTTTGGCTTGCCCCGCCCCCAGCTGTGTGGACATTTGGGGAGAGAGCCAGAGGATGGGAGAACACTCTCCTTTTCAAAAAGATGAAAAGAAAATCTTCAAATAAATAAAAACAATTTTTTATGCCTCCCCTATCTTGTAGTGCTCTTTGTTCACAGGCCCAGGGGTTCCCAATGTGGGTGACAGCAATGTTGATCTTGGGGCTCTCAGAGAACACAGACGCTTTGACCTTGGCTGTGCCCTGTCTGGCATGTGAACACTGGGAGCTGAAACATCACAAGCTGAGGTTGCAGTGACTGCCCCTCCTCCCTGAAATCCCAGCTAAACAGGAAGGTGTCTGGTGAAGGGTGAGGCCTGGACTTGGGACTCCCTTCCCTGCCAGGCATCATTGCCCAGCACAGCAGCATAGAGAAGATCAGAGGTCAGGGGAAGGTGTTGCTCAGAACCAGGTATATGTGTTTCCCACTTTGTAAGCCTGGAACATCATAAGTGACACTGCTGTAAACTAGGCTGCCTGCACCCAGGTCTCTGCCAGAGCAGACCCTCACTGTGTGGTGTCCAGGGTCCAGGTGTGCTCATGTGACCATCCTTCAGGGGAGGCTGAGGTTCAGGTGGGAGTCCTTGTCTTCCCTCCTGCTGCCTGAGTGTGCTCTGGAGGTGGAGCCATCAGCACCCACTTGAGCCACTTGCAGACCCCCTGGTCGCTCCAGACTGTCCCAGCCCTCCCAGTGCTCACAGGATGCCCTCAGCATGTCTGTGGACCCTCATTCTATCAGTGACCCTAGCTAGCCCTGCAGGTAGTGGGGCTGTGGTTTTACCCCCTCTCTCACACCCTCGACTTAGCCCTGCAGACCCAGTGCTCCTTCTTGCACCCTCTCTCATCATTCTCACTCACTCCCTGGGTGCTCCATCTCTGCTCCTGAATGCAAATGTGGTTCATGTGGAGCAGAGTCCTCAGTGAGTCTCCCACACAGACATTTCCCTTCGTCATCTGACTTGTGGTCACTGCCAGCCCTGCAGTGTCACTCACTTCTCACCAACATCCTGGTTTCTGCACTGAATGCCTGGGTGGTCCCTATGGAATCCACCCTCCCAGGTTGCCCTTCTCCTACAGTGATGCCATCCCCACACTGGCTCGGCCTGAAGCCCTGGGTGTCCTCCTCACCTCCTCCTCTTCCCCTGGATGCAGCCCACAGGAAGTGCTCTGCATCTAGCTGCAGAAGGATCCAGAACCTCATCTCCCACTCTGCCCATGCCCACACCCACCACAGTGACTGGCATCCCTGTCTGGGCTTCACAAGATCCCCTAGATCTATGTATCCAGTCTCGCAGTCTCTCAGCCCCGTCCTCACGCAGCAGCCAGGGTGGTCCCTGGACAGAATGTGCACATGTCCTTCCTCTGCTCAGAGCTGCCTCATGGCTAACATCTCACTCAGCGCCAGGGCCCAGTCTCAGTGTGCATGAAGCCTGCTGGATGGCGGTGTCCCGACCCAGCCTTCCTGATGGCTCCCTGCTCTGTGTGCAGACTTGCTCCTGCCCAGGGCATTTGCACTGGCCGTCTTCTGCCCCACAACTTCTTTGCAGATGACTCATTGTGTCCTTCCAACCTTACTCAGGGTCACCACCTCGGGACAGTGCACACTGACCATGATGATGAGACAGCCAGCTGCTCTGGCCCTGACACCCACCCTGGACCACCTTGCCCAGCACTGGGTCTGACCCACAGCAAAGTCAGCTGAGTGATGAGCATGTAGCACCTGCCCCTTCTAGACCCCGTGGTTCATCAGTGGAGCCTGAGACAGAGGCTGCTTGTGGCTGCTGCAGAGCAAGTCCCCTCCTGTGGTGTCCCCATGGCCTGTGCTTTCTCACAAGTGTCCCCTGCCCTCCTGCCTCCCTCCTACACTGCCTCCTGCACACACAGAAGTGAAGGCCACCAGAGCTCACACACAGGAAGAGCAGATACAATCAGCCAATGACACTAAGGAACAACGTGAACACAGGAAGATGGAGCTGAGGGATGAACTTAAGCCCTAGATTTGGCAGCCATGGCCCCATGCAGCCTCCATTGCCTTGGGCCATGAGACAGGGCAGCCTAGCCACGGCTGAGTCCTGTGATGGCAGGTGTTGGTGGGCATGCCCTACCAGAGAGACCAGGACACTGGGGCAGCTGAACCGGGTCAGCAGTGACCAAGAGAAAGCATGATGGATGGAGCACTGCCTGGGCACAGCCTCATCCTCACCCAGGACTTCCCACCCTCTCCCGTCCCCACCTGCAACAGACTCAACAGAGGAAACACAAGTTCTGGAAGGTTCTTGGTGCTTTTGTTTATTTCTCTCTGTCAAATTTTATTATTTTTTTTTTATTGATTACATTGCATTGTGTGACACAGTTTTATAGGCACTGGAATTCTGCACACCTCTCCCTAAACTACCTCCTCCCCCGTCAAATTTTTGTAATTTCCTCTTTTAATTTTCTCACCAACACCCCGTGATTGGAATTGGAATAAATGAATTGCACAGGGAAGGATGAAGTTGCAGCAGATGATCCACTTGAGACAGGGACAGAGGTGCCCGTGCTGGGCTGGGAGGGCCAGGATCCCTCCTCATACTGTGCCCACAGGAACACACTCAGCTGCCTTGGCAGGAAGGGAAGAGAGGGCAGGGCTTTTTGAAGAAAACCAAGATGGGGACTTCAGCAGGTCTGTCCCAACAAGGTGGTTGTCTCACACTACAGACACAAGGTGAAAATTTGAGGTCATTGCTTTTGGGGACAGGAACAGCACAGCACACTGTGAAAATGTCCAGATTCAAGGAATCCCCCAGCCCCTCTGTGAGTCCCCTCACCCAGGTCCCTCTCCCCTCCAGGCCCTCCAGGTCTCACCTTTCAAACTTTCAGAAGGAGTTGGAGCCCTGGGCACTGTCCCCACCTGGGAGAACCAATCAGGACTTGGTGAGAGCCCCGGGGGTGTGGCTGAGGGAGGAGCTATGGAGTGGGTGTGGCAGCACCTCCAGGGGCACCTGACTAGGGCAAGGGCTTTGGGGACTCCCCCACACCCAAACACACCCCAGTGCTTACCTGCAGCCTTAGTGTAGCTCCCTCCTTTCCCACCTGTGAGAGAAAACATCCAGTGAGAGGCTGGGCCAGAGTACTGGCTCATCTCAGACAAGTTTCTAGAACTGTGGCTGCAGATCCAGGAAAGGGTCAGGAGGTGCCTCTCCTGGAGGTGTGTCCTTCTGGGACCTCCCCCTGACCTGGGGCTGCTGGAGCTCAGGTTCTCATGAGCAGTGTCATCCCTGTGGAGTGTTCATGGTGCACCTTCACTTGGGCATCACACCAGAACCAGTGTGAGCACTTGGGGCCCAGCTGGGGATGTAGGTGTGTGTGCATGTTGCTTTCCAGGAACGGGGTAGGGGAATCTTCCTCTTAGGGGACAGGAGGATCAGACCCAGCCCTCACCCTGCCCTACCTGAGCGAATCCTCCTCATCATCACAGCAGTGACCACAGCTCCAATGAGCACAGCTGCCACGAGGACCAGGCCAGTGATGACTCCCCACATGGGCACAGTGGGCTGAGGAGACTCTGAGAGGGGAAGGGACAATAAGGGGCTCTGACCCCTGGTCTCATTCCCACCCTTGCTGGAGACTCCATCCCTCACTTCCCTCCTTACCCCATCTCAGGGTGAGGGGCTCAGGCAGCCCCTTATGCTTCACATAGCACGTGTATCTCTGCTCCTCTCCAGAAGGCACCAGCACAGCTGCCCACTTCTGGAAGGTTCCATCCCCTGCAGGCCTGGTCTCCACCAGCTCTGTGTCCTGGGTCAGGTCCTCCCCATCTCGCTGCCAGGTGAGTGTGATGTCCTTGGGGTAGAAGCCGAGGGCCCAGCACCTCAGGGTGGCCTTCTGGTCAGAGACTGGGTGGTGGGTCACATGTGCTGTGGGAGGGTCTGAGGGAAGATGTGGACAATTCAGGCCTTTTTTGTTCTTCCCCTGACACTAAAGTTACACTCAGTGACCTTCCTGAGAGTGGACAGGGGAAATGGGGTGGTGGAGGAGGTCAAAACCCTGACCCTGCCTGGATAAAGACAATGCAACAAATGTAGTGTTTGGAAAGTTCTAGAATCAGGTATCTGGCTAGGGTAGGAGGGCCCAGGTCTCTGAGGGGAAGATAGCCTGGAATGAAACTGCCCAGTTCACTGGCTTGAGACTGAAGACTGGCCTGGGAGGGGTGAGGATCACAAAATCTTGGTGGAGTGCAGGGTACTGAGAGGGTCCTTTCCAGAATCTTCTGTGCCTCTCCCCCTCCCCCACCCGTGCCCCTCCCCGGGTCCCTCCTCTCCTGAGGGAACAGTGGATCTCTGGCTCTGAACCCCAAACCCAGGTGGACGTCCCTGCTGTAGCCAGCAGGAGAGGGGGACGCTGGCCTGGCTCCCACTTTCCTCCCCTCCTTGCTGCCCCAGCCCCGGGGGAGGTGGGTGAGGGCGGCCCCTCCCAGCCCCGCGCACCTGCTCTCTGCAGAGTGTCCTTTCCCATCTTCAGGTATTTGTGCAGCCACTCAGCTTCACCCCCTGCCTCTAATTTGCTATTGCTGTTCTGAGCCGCCATGTCGGCAGCGGTCCAGGAGCGCAGGTCCTCATTCATGGGGAGGTAGTCCTTGCCATCATAGGCGTCGAGGCTGTACCCGCGGAGGAGGCGCCCGTCCGCCCCGACCTCACAGCCGTACATCTCCTGGATGGTGTGAGAGCCTGTCCCGCCCGCGGTCAGCCCTGGCCACGCAGCTCCGCCCGGCCCTCACCGACCCGCGGGGATTTCGGCCAAAACCGAAAAGGAAACCAGGTTGCGCCCCGCGGGCTCCTCCCGCCGAGGGTCTCCGCGGGGCGCGCAGTCTCGGGGTGGGGGACCTCGGCCAGGGGACCCGGAGCGCCCTGGGCGCACGTGGGGAGGGTCGGGTCACTCACCGGCCTCGCTCTGGTTGTAGTAGCCGCGCAGGGTGTTCAGGCCATCGCGGTAAAACTGTGCGTTTTTCTTGGCGATCTGTGTCTCCCGCTCCCAGTATTCGGGCTCCAACTGCTGCATCCACGGCACACTGGGTCCCTCTCTCGGGTTCCCGGCGTCGCCGTCGAAGCGCACGAACTGCGTGTCGTCCACGTAGCCCACGGCGATGTAGCGGGGCTCCCCGAGTTCGGGCCTGGACACGGAGGTGTAGAAATAGTTCATGGAGTGGAAACCTGGGGGAGAGAGGGGCTGAGACCAGGGCCGACCCCGCCCGGAGCGGGACCCTTGGGACCGAGGAGTGCGGAGCTGGGTTGGGGCGGAGACTAAGGGAGTGTGGGGACCGCGAGATGAGGCGGTGAGGAGAGGGGAGGGTCTTGAATAAGCCGGGGTCGGTGAGATGGCGAGGTGTAGGGGGTGTGAGGTCTGGGAGAGGCGGCTCCCCGGGGTCCTGTGTCCCCTCCGCGCTCCCCTCGCTCCTGCCCCGCAGAGCCCGTCTCCCTCCCGACCCGCACTCACCCGCCCGGGTCTCGGTCAGGGCCAGGGCCCCCGCGAGCAGCAGGAGGAGGGTCCGGGGCGCCGTGGACCCCATCCTGGGGGGCTGAGAGGAGTCTGATCCTGAAGCCTCGCAGCCGACTTTATAACCGGGACCGGACGGCTCTGATTGGTTCCGCTGGAAGCGGTGCCCAATGGGAGTGCGAGATGTGCCCACGTCAGGAGTGATCGGGCAGAAGGTGCTCCCTTGGGCTGTGAGAGGGGAAGTGACCCTGGAGGAGGTGAGGACTCCCCTGCACTTGCTTCCCTGGCCCAGACCCGCCCTGGGACTGAGACCCTGAGGGCCAGGCGGGTAGCAGGGACTGTGCCCTGACCCTGTGCCCGGCTGCCCAGGCCTGTGTGATGTCCCCTCCGTGAGGATAGGCCCGGGGCTGGCTGAGGGATCCCGAGAGACCTGATCAGGACGTGCCCATTTTTATGATTAGTTATACCTAGACCCATGCGTGTTTTATTGTTCAACTTGATTCACATCAGGAGTATATTAGATTTCAGGCAGCCCCACAGGATGCATTAAATACAGAATGCTGGGACCCAGCTGGGCTCTGTGAAGGTTCATGTTAATATTCAGGGCACAGCATGTTGAGACCTGAGCACCTGCTGCTTTAGAATCCTATCCTATGGCCCTTGTGTGGTGGCCTAGCAGCTAAACTTCTTGCCTTGAACGTGCCACTGTCCCATATGGTTGCTAGTTCTAATCCCGGCAGCCTCAATTTCCATCAGGCTCATTGCTTGTGGCCTGGGAAAGCAGTCAAGGACTGCCCAAAGCCTGAGGACCCTGCACCTGTGTGGGAGACCTGGGAGAGGCTCCTTGCTCTTGGCTTTGGATCAGCCCAGCTGCAGCGATTTGTGGCCACTTGGTAAGTGAATCATCAGGTGGAATATGATCCTTTCTGTCTTTCCTCCTCTGTGCATATTCGACTTTCTAATGAAAAAAAATCTTAAAAAAAAAAAAGGAATCCTGGAGTCTGGGCCCCTCTGCCCTCCTCTCAGCTCACCCCCTATCATTTCCTCCTCTCCTTTGGTTCTCCCCTCTTCCTCCCAGTCCTGAACTGGGCACTAGCAGGGTCCCTCTCCTGCCACCCAGGGACACTTATTCCCGCTGTGGTCAGCTGCCTCGCTGATGTGTCAGGGTGATCATTGCTTCACGAAAACAGCCCAGCAACAGCATTTGCTGTGGTGCATTGGGTTAAATGTCATTTGCAAGGTCAGCATCACATATCCCGGGGCTTCTTGGAGTCCAGTTTGTTCTGCTTCCACCCACCTTCTTGTTGATGTGCCTGGGGAGGCAGCAGAAAATCCCCAAGGGATTTCTCACTCACTGGTTCACTCTCCAAAGGGTCAGTATGTCCTGGGTTGGAGCCAGGAGCCCACAGCTCCATCTAGGCCTCCATGTGGATGCAGGGACCCAAGCACCAGGTCCATGTTCCCCTGCTTTCCAGGTGGGCGAGCAGCGAGCAGGGCAGTCAGGAGTCACACAGGTGTTCTCATCTGGGGTGCTTGGATTGCAGGTGGCAGCTTACCCTGCTCAGCGCCACAGTGCCTTCCCTGACCCTGCCTTTCATGTAAATAAACAAAAAGCAAAAAATACACCTTTCCATGACCCACTCTGCTGGCTTCATTTCACTTTAGGGAAACCTCTAGAATGTAGGGCCCATAAGCATAGAGACTTAAGGCTGTTGGTCAAAGTTGCAACTCCAGCACACAGAGTCATCTTTGCTGACAGTAGGCACTCAATTAATTCAAAGACCTGAACAAGATTATATTGGGGTCTAATTGTATCATGTGACAATCATAAAATAAATAGTGCAGCAAACATTGGAGAAGGTTTTGTCTCATGGGAGGAGTGTTCACTAGAGTTCACGAATCCCTCCAGCAAGGATGACACTTCCTGGGGTGTCAGGTGCACACTGGGACCCAGGTATTGCTAGCTTTCCATTCCTGCATCACAGGTTACCACACCTGGGTGCTCAGAACCACACTCCTTCCTTGTTCATTTCATGTCAGACTCCAGGCCTGGTGTGGCCTTGCTCTCTGGGCAGGCTCTCACAGAGCTGAGTTGGTGTCTTGGTGTTGGAGTCCTCCTCCAGCCTCCTTGGAGCTTGGGGCAGAGTCCAGCTCCGTGCAGGTGGAGGCCTGGAGTCCTGTTTGTGGGACAGCTGTCAGGGTGCAGGGGGAAGCTTCTCCCAGCCCCAGGGCGCCACCTTCTCTGCCCCAGGGTCCTCCAGAGTCAGGGGCTTGCTGGAGAGAGGGGCATGTGTTACACTGAACCCCTCCCAAGCTGAGTCCCTCTCTTTAAATTGGTCACAATTCCTCTAACTCCCCTACTCCTGTGTACAGATTCAAGGCTTATTTCTTAAATTTCCAGCTCCCACATGAAGGTGAACATGAGGTATTTGTCTCATTTTGTGGCTCATTTTACTCAGCATGATGTCCTTCAGTTCCAACCATGTTGATGCAAATGAAAGAACATCACTCTATCACTGCTTTTTTTATAAAATCATTTTTTATTACAAAGTCAGATATACAGAGAGGAGGAGAGACAGAGAGGAACACCTTCTATCTGATGGTTCACTCCCCAAGTGACCACAACAGTGGAGCTGTGTCACCCCGAAGCCAGGAGCCAGGAATTTCTTCCAAGTCTCCCATGTGGGTGCAGAATCCCAAGACTTAGGGCTGTCCTTGAATGCTTTCCCAGGCCATAAGCAGGGAGCTGGATGGGAAGCTTGGCTGCTGGGATAGAACCGGCACACATATGGCATCCTGGTGCATTCAAGCTGAGGGCTTATCTGCTAGGCCACTGCTCCCTGGCCAAGGCATCACTCTTTGTATAGCTGGACAGTATTCCATTGTGGTGCATACTGTATTTTCTCTATCCATTTTTCTGACGATGGATATCTTATTTGCTTTCACATCTTGACCATTGTGAGCAGTGCTGCTGTAGGCTGTAGAGCTTTCCACTGCGACACAATGAGTCATGTCTTTTGTTGTGTGCCCAGGAGTACAATTGCTGGTTCATGTGGAAACTGCTGTTAAAAGATTTTGAAAAATCCCCAAACTGTTTTCCATCATGGTTGCCCTAATTTATGATCCCAACAGCATTGTATACGATTTTCCCTTTTCTCATACCCTTGCCTGCATTTGTTAAAAACCACACTAAACCCAACCCAACCCAACCAAACAAAACCATACCAGCCAATCAAGGAAACATATGAGGAAAAGATCTAATAGTCAGGTCTGATAATAACTGTAATGAACAATGTATGGAAAATGTTCAACAGGATCAGCTGTCAGGGGAATGCAAACCAAACCCCCAAGGAGATGTCGCCTGGCCCTGTCAGAATGGCCCTTACTGAGTGAGAGTGACAGCCATGTGTATCTGCACGCAGGGAGAACGCAGTCCTTTGAAAGGCTCCCCAGAAAGGACAGACCAACCCAGAGTAACCCCTGTCTCAGGGCCAGCTGATGGAGACCTTCAATTCATTTTTTAAAATCATTTCCCAGTGGCATCTACATCAGCAGTTGATTGAATACAGGGCTGTGTGCAACTGCCCAGGCCACTATAGGATCAGGCTGCCTGGCTTTCCATTCCTTGGACATTCGAGTGAGTTCAGGTTGAAAATGCAAGGTCAGATAGATTCTTTTGAACAGTAATGACTGCTTTTTTTTACCCTTTGGCTAAATTCAAGTGTAGAACAGTGATGAAATGCACCCTGATGAAGCATGACCATTCTTGTATCTTGAAGCCAACGGACATGTTTATCATATTTATTTCTATTAGAGTCACTAAATTGCAATAACTCATGCTGTTTGGAAGCTATTTTATTTATTATGGCACATAACAAATTTTCCATAATTTAGTACCTGGAAGCAAGAAACAAACAAATGTTTATTGTCTTCCACTCTTTCATGTAGAACTGTTCATGTGTTTATTTTCATCTACTTGGTACAGCTTCTGCTACTCCTCTCCCGGATGCCACAGCAGCTGGAGCTGGGCCAGGCAGGAGTCAGGTGCCCAGGACCCGGCCCAGGCCTCCCTGGTGGGTGCAGGGTTCCCGGTCTCCAAGCAGGAAGCTGGGTCCCAAGTGGAGCAGCCAGGAGGCAAATGGGGCTCTGAGGTGAGATTGGGAGTCCCAAAGGGAGCGGATCACACTTCTGCCCCCTGCCTGCCAGGCCCCTGGTCTCTGGCAGGGAGGTTGACTGAGGCTTCTGCTCAGACTGTTTCAGTGGAGCTAAGAGCCAGGGCTGCCCCATCTGGACTGGGCAGGCAGGGCTGCCCTGTGGCGCCCTCTGGTGGCTGGTGGGTGGAAGAGGCCTCGGGTCCTTTCTTCAGGGCTGTGTGTGCCAAGGCAGAATTTGTGTCTAGATCTGGTGCAGGAATGAAAAAGAAAGGGGGATATCTATCTATCTATCTATCTATCTATCTATCTATCTATCTATCTATCTATCTGAGAAAGAGAGAGAGAAACGTCCTGAACCAGAATCCATGCTAGGCTAGCCTCACACTCAGAATTTGTACTGGAAGTCCCAAGTATTCTGATCTACACACACACATAATTATTGCATGTGTTTCTGGACCCTGTAGCATTATAATGTATGTGTGGAGTGTGTACTGATCCATATGGTCAATTATGATTTCCATGTCCTTTTCATTACATTATCTTCTCTTTATGTTTTGTAGATTTATTTCTGTATTGGAAAGGCAGAGTTACACAGGGAGAGTGAGAGCTGCACAGGCTGACACTGACCAGGCCAGAGTCAGGAGCCT